TGATTACATCAGCATTATACAATAGCATTTGAAGATTATCAATATCTAAATAGGCAACTTGCATCTCATCAATTTTGTTAAGTTGTGGCAATTGGTTTTCTGCACACCAGAATTTCTAACAGAAATCAAAATTTGCATGAAGTACGAATGAAGGCAATGAATTGAGTGAAGATTCTGCGGTAAATTATAAATGTGAGTGATTTAGTGATGCATCTGAAGTGAACGAGAAAATTATCACGACACAACGAAGCAGCTATGCAGTCAGCAAAACGAGGATTGAGATTAATGAGGCATCATGAGATTCAGATGTAAAAAATGTAGAGAGAGCTCTGGTAATGAATAGAATGCAGAAGAACAGCTTCTGGTGAACGTAGCAATCCAGAAGGTTTGCATGCATCACGTACGTTCCATGCACATCTCTTCTCCCACAGTATGCACGTGATTTTTGTGTCGAATTTCCATGATATTTCATTACTCTTATAACTGATGTTACTTACAACAGTACAGTCTCATTATGTAGTGGCGATTTTCTCATTCACTTCAGCCGTATCATCGATTTGCTCTCATTCATAATTCTCCGAAGAATCTTTACTCTATTCATTTCTTAAGCTCACAGATTTATTCCATTTAGTTTTTCCACGTTCTCCATTCAAAGTTTTGCATTTTTGGGCGTACTGAAATAGCATGAAGATTGTTCCGTCTCAATTATTTGGGTGATAGTTCGAGAGATCTTTATGCAAATCTTTACATCCTTATGCAAAAAACGAATGTATTTGAATTTGGCCTGGGCTGACTTTGTTGCCTTGTATTGTTTCATTTATTCCATTCCATCCGATGGCGAGAAGCCATTCGATTCCACGATTCCATGATCCATGAGGATTCCATGAGCAGTTGGTGTTCGATTTATTATAAACTTTTCATTTTGTTTCTAATACTTTAAATTTCAGATGCACTGGACGATGAGGTGTGCTGATGGATGGTTGTCGAAGGAACAAGGAGCATTGATGGTGGTGACCAAAAAGCAGACAGCCCGAGCGAACACAACTCAAGAAACCTTAGCAAATCGCGAAACCAATCATCGATGAGTGATTTCATCAACCGACGGAATCCGGCGAAATGGATGCCCTCAGGAAGAGATGCGCGAAAAAAATGAAGAGTTCCACGATAGCAAATCGGTTCATTATCAGTTCATATGATCGACAGGGAAGGATGTATCTGAAGGTGAATGTGTTACTTACCGTGACCGGTCAATCTGCATAAAGACATTTTGCCTAACGGACAGTTTGCCCAAGGAACAGTTTGCCTATTAGGCAAAATATCCATTAAAAAACCGAAAGTTAGGCAAACTGTCCATTAGGCAAACTGTCCGTTAGGCAATGTGTCATTAGACAAACTGTCGTTAGGCAAAATGTCTTTAGGCAGATTGACCGGGTACTGCTACTTCCAATTACTGGACTTATTGCTTTTGTCAACAGTTAATCGGAAGTTGTTCGAGGAACTTCACATACGACAATTCTCCCCACTTCATTACAAAGCTGTAATGAAGTGGGGAGAATTGTCGTATGTGGAGTGGTTGGACGATCACAACAAACGAAACCTTTACTTTTACAAACACTTAGCAACAATAAATATAACTTGATCGAAGGGGTACACTTCCAAAAACAATAGCAATCCGTCGAATTGCTCACAGATTAGTGATAACAAACAAATCCTCGATATCAATACATCGAGTTGCTCATTGATTAATGATGACAAACAAGATCTTCGAAACTGCATTAATCACTCGAATTGCTTAGGGAATAATGATAATAGACGAAAAGAACAAAGACGAGGCGACAATAAGATATTAAGAACAGAAATAATGTACAATGCATTCAATATATTTCAAAAATAGAATATTCAAATGATCGTGAATATCCTAATTCACGACAAAAGCAAGCTCTACAAAAAGGGCACCATGTGATGGAATAATCAATGGCACGCAAGAGGGCGAGGTCAGACTAAAACAATGCAACAGGCAATACCACACAATTATTGGAGTATGTACGAAATCACTGAAAATCACTGAGGATAACTGAGCAATTACAAAAAAATAAAACTTATAGAAATCGAATTGTATTCGTCTAAAACTGCAGCAAATCACCCGAGCATGTGATCGGAAGCTTTCAAACTTTATTTTTGTTTATCTTTTTGAAACATTCTTTTGATTAATCCTAGGGCCAAAATAAATAAGCAGTAGATGAAAGAAACCATCTTTTCTTTATTTATGCTATATTTTTCCGCGGGTTATAAAATAGGGACCGGAAAATAAAATTGAGTTGTGGTCAGTAATCACTTTCTTGTGCATCTTCCACATTTCATTATTTGTAAATGCTTGTTTGTTTGTGAATATGGTTGTATTTGTGTTCAATTGTGAAAAGATTATTTATTTGTAAGTAGTGATTATTTTGGATAATCCAATTTCACATCCGTTTTTCATATCCAATTACTCCCACATCGGAAATGTTAATCGCCCGTTCACGATATTATCTTGTTTCATCCCTAACAGCTAATCGTAAAAGAGGCTGTACTCGGCTAAACAACAAATTAAGCACATTCGGACGGACACGTACATATCGTCAAATTCCCATAGCATTCTCTATCAATTAAAATGTTTCCCGTTGAAATCAAATTTATTTCATGCATACTCACCATGCTCATTATTCATTCGGTCACGAAATACTTTGGCTCAGATGTTCGCTTTCTATTGCGTAGTCAAATGATTACGTGTGATCAATATCTTTATACACAATATACATAGATATGTATTTTAATCGATTAAAGTACATAATTACAAAACAATGAGATCTTGATTAATATTCACAATCAGAATTTACAATTAATTAATATTTGATTGTATTTACAATTTAATTGTATTTACGATTAATTAATACTTGAGTAATATTTACAATTAATATTTACAATGAATATTTACGATTAACAATGCTAGCATGTTTTTTGAATCGTTCACAATATCTAATCCATGCAATGATTTAGTTAATTAGCGGCTCATCCAGTCACATGCGTGCACATTATTTCCTGATCATATCTTTTAACATCTTATAATCAAGCTTCCAGTTCACTCAGTATTCATAATAAACGATCAAACTTTCTTTACATATCTTTCCCAAATTCTTCAAACAAATTCATGCTATTACATTCGCTTTCGATTCTATTCATTCTAATTTTCAGGATTGCCCTGATGATGAGCGCTGTTGAAATCGAATTTGCTAAGAAAATGCTAGTTAAACAAATTTGGTTAGCATATCTTGTCGAAGATGACCAGAAGAAAGGACAACTATTTACACGAACGAATCAGTCGCATAGGCCATATTTGAGTGAAATCATGAACTGAGTTGAGCAATCAGCAGAGAAGCGGTTGTTGTTGCCGTCGTTGCATAACAGAAGCTTGAAGTTCGAAGAGATGTTGATCTGAATAATCAGGAAACAAATTCCGGATTTCATCGGCCAACTTGAAGAGATAATCCGAATTCGGGCCAGCACATCCTTTTGCGTTCGCAATTTGCTCACCGATCTCATCCACTGAAGTTGGTCCCAAATAAAATTCATTGTCTGCATTCGCAATACACGTCAACGCATTTATTCGTTTCGTTGTTGTGCATTCACCTGAAATGTTGTATATTCACCATCGCTAATCCCTATTTTGTTTGTTTACAATTCGTATGTATTTCCTCTATTGATTAAAAATTTTTCTCAAAATTCCACTGGAATCATGCGAGTCATTGCGCAGAGCGAAACAAAACAAACTGCCGCGTTTCCCGCAATCGCTAAATTCATCAAAACCGATGGATGATATGCTAGGCTACCGATAAGATTGTTATCTGTAGGGAAGCAGCGTTTCAGAGGGGTTGGAAAATGCGATATTTGGAGTATTCCTAACGAGAACGGTGAAGTATATACTCGTAATGGAATGCGACAGTTGTTGATTCTACTGATTGAAGGAGTGAGTAAATAGAACTCGACTGGATTTTGTAAACAACATTCACTGCGATTTAATATCAATACCTTCACGTGTATTCACTTCGACTGGAATGATGCAGTACTCGTAGCCATTGAGTATTTCACGCTCGTGAAGATGTTCCAGTGCTGCTTTGATCTGATCACGTCCGGTCACTTTGAACACCAGTCCACATGCATACGATTGCTGATCCTCTATTAAAGTTGCAACACGTCCTGGCTGAATACTATCACCGTTATTTTATTGCTTGAAGTGTTATTATCATTACTTTTATCGTTGTTGCTTTATTATTGTTATCATTGTCAGTGTTATCACTGCTATTACTATTATTCACTGATCATTTGCATGAATGATAAACAAGTAGATCAGTAAATGTTGCTTCTCGTTATTGATGAAAAACAATCAAAACTGAATGATCAAAAACAAGACAATCAACAAACATATCAAAACAAACG